AAAAGCTAAAGATAAACAGAGACAGGAGTGGTGGCATTTTCTTTTTCGGAAGCCAACGGAGAGCCACGCCTCCGCGCGAGGCGGCAGACTAATCACATGCCACTGCTTTGTTTCGATGAGTGCCTGTGCCATGTATTGGCTTAAAAAGCGCATTATCGGTCCGTGCAGACCGGAAAGGAAGCTCCGGTTGCAGCAACCCACGTCGCCGGAGCAGTCGTTATTTCCCGGCCCTCAGTCCCCCTCCCCCGCAAGATCATGCCCTCGAGATGTGCTTGTCGGGATTCATGATGTTGTTTGGGTCGAACTGCTGCTTGATGGTCTTCATCGCCTCGATGACTGTGGCCGACTTGGAGTACTTCAGGAACTCGCCCTTGTGCTTTCCAAGCCCGTGCTCGGCGGCCACCGACCCCTGCCTGCTGCCCACCCACTCGTACACCCACGGCTCCATGACCTCCTCAACAATGCCCCCAAACTCCTTAGCAATGACCTGGAGATGAATGTTGTCGTCGCCAATGTGGCCAAATATCGTAACGTCCTTGACAGGCGAATCAGCTTGACCGTAGATACCCTCGGCAGTCAGATGCTCTTTGACAGCGACCAGCAGGTCGTACTGGTGCTTGGACGGAAGGCTGAAGTCGTAGACATGCATGCATCCGCTCTTGCCGTGGGCAGTGGCCATCTGCTGGCGGAACACCCAGACGCGCTCCATCTCGTCGGCGTCTCTGAACACCTTGGAGTCGTCAATCAGGCGCTCCTCGCGCAGCTTGTCCAAAAACGCATCCATCTTTTCGACATCGTGCTGCATGTAGGAGCCACGCGTCTCGATGAGCACGCAGAACTCGTGGGCGGTCTCCAGCGGGCTCTCGTAGTGCTCGTACTCGACCACCAGCTCGTTGCAACGCTTCTCCCAGAACTCGAATGCCGAGATGATTTCGCCGAGGCTCTGCCTGGCGAGCACAAAGGCGCGCTGGATCTTGCGGAAATCAGTTAGTCCCAGAACCACCAGCTGCGAGGATGCAGGCTTGGGCGCCAGGGCAATGGCGACGGCGGTGACCACGCCCAGCGTGCCCTCCGCACCAATGAACAGCTGCTTCAGGTCGTACCCGGACGCGTCCTTCTTGAGCGTAAACAGCAGGTCCAGGACCCGCCCATCGGGCAGCACGACCTCCAGCCCCAGCACCGTGCCGTGCATGCTGCCGTAGCGCAGGTACCGCAGTCCGCCGGCGCTGGTGCTGACGTTGCCGCCAATCATGCACTTGTTGCGCGACCCCAGGTCCACTGGCACAATGTACCCGAGCTGCTGCATGTGGCGATCCAGGTCGTCCAGCACGCACCCGGCCTCGGCCACCACCACGCCCGAAACCTCATCAATGTCTCGCACCTTGTTCATGTCCCGCATGCACAGCAGCACTTCGTCGCGCTCGGCAATTGCCCCGCCCCCTGTGCCGCTGTTTCCGCCTTGCGTAACCACGCTGATGCGCCGCTTGTTGCAGTACGCGAGAAACCTGGGATACCTGCTCGGTGGTCTTGGGCAGCACCATCACCTTCGACGACCCACGGTACTTGCCAAATACGTCAATGTTGTACTGGCTGTCGAGCTTGGTCTCGGAGTGGACCACCTGTGCGCCAGTCTGCGCAAAAAAGTCAATGTCGCTGGCCGTGATAGGCGTGGTTTCAGTCATGTTTGTAATTGGAAAGTAGGCGAGAGATAGAGTAGTGCCCCTGAACCATCGACATGGAATACGTGTTGCTGGCGGGGAACGGGGTTTAGGGGGATGTGCGCGCATTTCCCACGAGACGAGTCTGCCTCAGACATCCACTTTTCCAGCGCGGGGGCACGGACCTTTGGGGGCTGTCATCTCTGGTCGGCGCAGCTCCAGACCCAGCCCGCCTGTGAACTTGCCGATCCCTCCCGCGTCGCGATCCGCATTGCTCACAGAACAGGCTTTTCAATGTCTGCGACACGGTACCAGTGCATTCCGGCTTCTACCGCAAGCATGTAGCGTCTCCTTGGAATTGCAGGCCAGTGCAGCCTCCAGGGGCAGGCCGAAGGAGATAAACGGCGAACGGAAAGCCGTAGAGGCGTCGCTTGTTTCAGGCCACCCTACAGCAATCTGCTATCATCAAGGACGATCGATAATGACCTCCCCAGGTTAATTGCCGCTAATGACTCCAATTGGCCAGCTCTCAGGGTATCTGTGAGCGAAAACCACGGGCAAATGACTCAGAGGAAGATAAAAAAGTTTTGGCCCACCCCAGACGAAACGTTTAAAAGAAGGCGAGACGGGTCCTCCATCCCAGCCCGCGCCCAACTAGCTAGCCAGACTTCTTCTCTCCTCCAGTATTGTCTTGTTCTTTTTCCAGGGGTTACCGAAGGTCATTTTGTTTTTTCCTCCTGTCTGAATTCATAGCCAGCAAAGCGCCAACAGTTGTTACAGCCATGGCTCCATCGTCCAACGTCTCTTCGCCGCGGGTCGAGAACCCTGCCGGCAAGCCGATCCTCGTGCTGAAGTTTGGTGGAACGAGCGTCGGCAAGTTCATCCAGAACATCTGCGGCCAGATCATTCCGTAAGTACATCGAGCAGGCGAACAGGAACAATGGATAGTGTGAGCATTACGGCAAACGCACACTCGCCGGTGTGAATGACGCCGGTGGCTGATTGCGAGTATCACCGTGTGTCTGGTGAAGGTGCGGGTGCAACTCTGGGCCAGTCAAGCCATCAGCTGTGGCCAATGCTACAATCAGCGGCCATACCTTTATGCACAAGAGGCGGCCGATCCTCTCTACGCATGATGCATGATGCCGCCAGCTGTCTTGCTCCTACTATGGACTAGTGCTGCCGTCTTATCGACTGTGTATTGTGCAATATGTGCATGTCGCACTCACACCGGCAATTAATTTTTCTGCTGCTGCTGTCTCTCTGTAGGAATCTCCTCAAAACACACCGCGTTGTTGTCGTCTGCTCGGCACGCAGCACCGACGTCAAGGCTAAGGGCACCACCACGCGCCTGGTCAAGGCCGCCGACGCTGTGCTGGGTGACGCGAGCGTTGACCACCAGCAGATTGTACAAGACATCCTGGATGACCACATCGAGGCCTCGCGCGAAAACATCACAGACCCTGAGATCCGGGACCAGCTGGAGAAGAGCCTAACCGAGGTGTGCCACCGCTTGAAGGTGTTCCTGGAGGCAGCCGAGGTCATCAACGAGGTCTCGCCCAAGTCAAAGGACGTCATTATTGGAACCGGTGAGAAGCTTGCGTGTGAATACGTCGCATCAGTCCTGCAGGACAAGGGCGTCGACGCTGCCTACGTCAACCTGGAGAAGGCTGTGGACCGGCACTTTGACTCGGGCCATCTGGACCAGACATTCTACGACTACCTGGCGCAGCGCTTTGCCGAGATTGTAAATGACTGCGGCAACCGCGTTCCGGTCGTCACCGGCTACTTTGGCCCGTGCCCCGGCAGTATCCTGTACAGCATTGGCCGCGGCTACACTGATCTGACTGCTGCACTGATCGCCGTTGGGGTTGGCGCACAGGAATTGCAGGTGTGGAAGGAGGTCGATGGCATCTTTACAGCAGATCCTCGCAAGGTGCCGTCGGCACGGTTGCTGAAGATCATCACGCCTGAGGAGGCCGCTGAGCTGACCTTCTACGGCTCGGAGGTCATCCACCCATTCACCATGGAGCAGGTCATCCGCGCATCGATTCCGATCCGCATCAAGAATGTGCAGAGCCCGGCCGGTGCCGGCACTGTGATCTTCCCCGACCTGCTGTCACGGCCGACAAGCGGTCTGGCGACCAGCGAGACGTCACCGACTGTGCACACACCCGAGATGCTGCTGGAGAACGGCTACATGCTGGATCTCTCGCGGCGGCATCCGACAGCTGTAACCATCAAGGACGATATCATTGTGCTTAACATCCACTCGAACCGCAAGAGCGTGTCGCACGGCTTCTTTGCGCGCATCTTCTCGATCCTCGACAAGTACGGCGTCAGCGTCGACCTGATTTCGACGTCCGAGGTGCACGTGTCGATGGCGCTGTCGGCATCAGTCATTGAGCGCAACCTGCAGCCTGCCATCCAGGAGCTGAGCCGCCTGGGAACCGTCGACATTATGCGGAATATGGCCATTCTCTCGCTGGTCGGCAAGCAGATGCGCAACATGGTTGGAATTGCCGGTAGCATGTTCCAGACCCTGGCCAAGGCTGGTGTCAACATCGAAATGATCAGTCAGGGTGCGTCGGAGATCAACATCAGTTGTGTCATTGACAACGCCCGGTCGGCTGTCGCGCTGCGCGCCATCCACGAGAACCTGCTGTCAGGCGTCAAGACAAATCTGATGCACGACCCCGAGGTCATCCGCGAGCTGCAAAAGCGCGGGCTCACCACTGGCCTCCACACCACCATGAGCGAGCTCTCATTAGATTCCCTGACAAAGAAGCACTAAATATATTTGAACGCTTGACTACTATCCCTCCTGCGGCTGGAGGTTGGGCCACCGCCAGTGGAAGTACTGCTGCTCGTGCACCCATGTCGCCTTCTCGACCTTCTTCATCTCGTCGCGGAACGACTGGTACTGCAGGAGATCCAGAAACGCCAGTGCGTTCGGGTACACGACGAATCGCGCATACTCAGGCTTCTGCCAGTATTTGAGGTACTTCAAGTAGTTTACAAACGCAGGCTGGTCAAAGTACCCCTGCTGGGCCAGAAAGTTGATATACCAAGGGTTCGCCAGGCACTGCACGAATTCGAGCTCTACTTCGAACCGCTCCTTTGCCAGCTTGTCTTCCTGCATGCCATTCAGGGGCTCAGTCTTTTGTGTGGCACTGTCCGACAGCATCGACGAGTCTGGCACAATGGCTTCTGACATGCTTTGAAACTGTAATTGGAAAAAAAAAAAAAAAAAAAGAACGGATGCCGCCTACTAAAAAATATTGGCCACACTCACTTCTAACTAATGTAAATTTCAGAGAAACGTGCACAACAATGGGTCCATCACCAGGCCAGCAACTCCTTGAGCCGATTCGCAACGGTCTGGAAGTCTGACATGAGCTGCTGGTCGTAGTGGTCCCTCCACGCATACTGCTTTATGGTCTGCGCCAAACTAACGAGCCCGGCGCGGTAGCTGTTGGAATTGGGATCCGTCAGGAATGCCTCCAGTGCTGTGCGGTCATTTAGGATAATAGCGAGGTTCTTGAACAGCTTGGTTTCGCTATTCGAGTTGGGCTTGACCTTGTTGATTTGCTCAGAAAGCCGGCAGACGCAGACCTTTTGGTCAACTGTCAGCCCTGCTAAAATAGAGGGTAGAGTGGCAAAGAGAAGCAGACAAACCTGTGTACGGGAAAGCATTTTGAATACTTGTGATGCAGTGTTTGGGATGTGACAAATTGGTGGCATTGCTTGAATTCTGCTACCATTTTATACGCATCCCTGCATTTTCCAGTTGTTATCCTATGCAGTTCAGGTAGTAGAATTGTCTCGGAATGAATCTGGTGCTTGGCACTTGTGTCTCCCTCTGTCGTACGACACTAAGACCGATGTTTAGCATTGCCGGTATACTGCAGTAGCATGTAGTCACACGACCCTCTCAAGGTGTTTATTTCAATTTTTAGGTATGGTTTTCGAGGAGCAGCAGGTAGTGCAGTCGCCAAGATTTATGTGAGAGTGGTATTAATATACCGGTCTGCCGTACAGCAAGGCAACAGCTGGGCATTTGAATGCTAGCATCACAGAAGCAGGCTGCAAGGTCTCTGCGACCATCTAGATTCAGAATAAAAAGGATCATATTATATAGCCATATCTTTATCAACTTTGCAGTCTCGTATGGCGCCACAAGGAAATCCATCATTACCATCCATTGACACAACCCAGTGCCAGGTTATCTCCCGGACATTTATCAGTATTGGCCGTCGATTTATCTCTGACCTTTAGGCCACTGCAGCAGCAGCAGGGAAAGTGAGAGCGACGGTCCTGGCGCAAAGTTATAAATCTAAAGATGTAAGGAGTAAAACCGTATTTGGTGCTGTGTGGTAGCCTACCACGGAAATGCAGATGCTAGGACTTGTATCACTTCGACCAATCGAGCCCTAGAGCCCTAGAGCCCTTTGGTAGTGTGGCTGTATACATCTCAACCAGTAGTGTTCAAGTGGCTTCCGTGTCACTACCATGTCGTTGTCGTTGCTGCTTGTGCGTTGAATATACCGTGGAAACTAGAACGAGTATATTGTCCTATGAAAAGAAAGCAAACTATCCAACGCTTCTAAGAATAGTGAGTATAGCTTATTTTCGTTGCTGTAGTGTTGCGTCCTGCTTGTGTCTCTGTACCAGAGTCTTCGTCGGAGTGATTCTGAAGGGAGATGTGCTATTCTTAATGTACAAAAATCCTAGGAGGACCAACACATGGAAAATTCCTCGTTGGTTGTTCATACAATTTGAGGCAGTAGTAATAATATAATTGGAGACTATTGTTTGTGTTAACATGCTAACGGTTTTCGTACATAGCATACCCGAATCACCGCTGATTCCCGAGGCTTCATGTTTGTGGTGATTAAAAGTATATTAGCGTAGTATTTCTCTCTATATCTACTCCTGTTCTGCTGGTCCACCTATCATTTCGGGCAGACTACTTTGTAGCACGAACAGCAGAGCGCCCATATATCAATCCGCGCAGTAGAATGCCTGTAGATGCCAGCAAGCGCCAAAAAGGATGAGCGTAAACAGCTTCCCTAGCAGCGTGGTACGCAGCCAGTAATTGCGTGGATATATAAGATCCCTCATACCACTCTTCCAAGAGTTCTCTGGTCCGCTGTAAGGCGGAGTGCGTATCGAATCAACTCGGGGTGGGTGGGAACCACAGCTTGTTTTTCATCACCGAGCGGTGGTGTGAAAAGGTGTCGAACGAATACTTGCCCATATATCTGCCGAAACCTGACGGGCCGGTGCCGCCAAACGGATAGTTGTTTGCTGCCATGTGTAATGTATCGTTTGACACAGCAGAGCCTGAGCGCGTGTTGCAACTATATACTCTGTGGTCTTGGAGCTGCCGAACGCATAGAGCGCCAAGGGCTGGTCGCGCGAGTTGATCAAGTTCACAGCCTCATCAAGCGTGTCGTAGGTGGACGATTGGCAAAATTGGCCCAAACAAACTCATGGCTCATTAGCGGATCGTTGGGATGGACCCATCGATCAGCGTTGGTGGGATGTAGCGGTCGGCCTGGTCAGCCTGGTCATCGGTACAGTTGATATATTACCTTGGTGTGTCCAACAGTTCCATGATGCGCTGCCAGTGGCGGTCATTGATGATGCGCGTGTAGTCAGGCGATTTCTGCGGTGACCTGGTGTAGCATTCTCGATAAAATTCCCGGAATAGAACGACCAGCTTGTCCTTGATTGAGCGGTGAACTAGCAGGTAGTCAACCCCAACACAGGTCTGGCCAGAGTTTGCTAGCTTGGCCCACATGATGCGTGTAGCAGTAGCCCCGAGATCTGCCACGTCGTGGTGGAACAACGACTGGCGACTTGCCGCCCAGTTCCAAGGTCACTCCAGCCAAGTGCTCAGCAGCAGCCTTTGCGACAAGGCAGCCAACCTTGCCGTTTCCAGTGTAAAAATATGGTCGAATTTTTGCTTTAGAAGCTCGGAAGTCTCGGCTGCTCCACCTTGCACCACACGCACGGCATCGGGATCGAGCACTCAGATACTAGAATCTCGATGGCCATAGCGCTGTGAGTGCCAATTCCGATGGCTTGAGCACAACAGTATTACCGGCAGCCAGGGCACCGATGAGCGGCAGCAAAATCAGTCGTATCGGGTAGTTCCACGCGCCGATAATTGCTACAGTCCCGTGCGGCACTTTGCGAACTTCATCGAGCACATCAAACAACGCGGCCTGCTCGCTCCCAGCTTGTGCTTATCAGGCTTGGCCCACCTGTCCATGTACTTCAAAAACTGCCCAATCTCGTATTCGACAGGCGCAATCTCGAACACCTCGCTTTCCACAGTAGGACGCCCAAGGTCCATACTGAGCGCATCGAGCAGCAGCTTGGAGTTCTTGCGAACGCCGGCGAGAAGCCGAATTTAGCTGCTGTTTACGGAACTTGATGTCGCGTGTCGGTTCCCTGCGCAAAACTTGCACGCATCTCCTGCACTGTTACGCCAATAGCATCTATTGATGTAAGGCAGAGCTCGGGCTCAGCAGAAAGACCAGATATAATGGTATGCTCCTTCTCCATTTGGCTGCGAATATTGGCGTTTGCTGAAGCCGTCTTGGTAAAAGAGTGAGGAGTGTACGGAAATACTGCAATATATAACGGAAGCCAATAATGGTTGTCCGAGCAGGTATCAGCACGAGGGCCCATGTGCTTTTAAGCGAGCATCTGGGACCCTCTTACCAGCGTCCAGCTTCTTGCAATGCCTTTATTCGAATAGTTTGCAAAGATTCTGAGCATGCTTACTGTTAGTCCTACGGAAAAACTGGCATACAGTCACCAGATGCAATGGCTGTCCAGATATACAAGCAGCTCTCACACTGCAGCTCTACTATTTGTAGGTATATATGTTTTTTCGGTTATATGTCCAAGCACAGACTTTACCGCTCTTGGCGCATTCGCTTGCGTTTGCCTATCCCCATTGGCCATCGCTGAAGCAGCACTCACCATTTCCTCTCACCATTGGGGTGGTTGTAAGTGAACCAGTACTTACGACGCCCGCGATGAGAACCCCTCTACTAGACGTACATAGATGGTGTCAGTAATTCCTTTCAAAGGGGTTCTTCACTAAGTGCGGCTGGTTCTCAGACTGGCCCATGTCATAGTCATGAATCCCTAGGACAGGGTGCGCTTGGCCATTTCAAGTACTGGTACATTTGCTTTATCTTGTTCTTGCATTACCTTCTGAGCAAGGTTCTCTCCTTCTTGTGTTGCAGCAGGAGGCACATACGTCTCTTCCGCTGCTTGTAAATTCTTGATCCGCTGTCTTCTTGGAGGATTATTGTAGGTTTCTGGCAATTCACTGAGGAGAGATTCTGCGGCAATAGTTTGATCTCCACAAGGGTCGTGGCCTCCCTAGCGATCGCTGGACCCATCAGGCTTATATAGTTGCCTGTGGATGGCGTTTGGCGTGTGCACATACACTGATGTCGCCAACTACTAAAGTGCTATTCCGGAAGACAGGTGGCGACCAAGCCGAAACTCGGTATACTTGCTGGCTTGTGGCTTAGCCTGCCGATGGCTCGAGACCCGCTGGTTCGATTCTGGCTCACGGCATGCTCACCCTGATGCGAAATACGAGGGCATGAAGCCAAGCCTTCAAGGAGCAGTGACGCATGAGTTGCCGAGTCTCTTTTCTTGCTTCCGACCAAAACGCTTTGCAACCTCTTCAAGCCTCTGCTATACCTCGCCGACAAACACCTCGCCCAATTTACAACAGCACACTTTTCGTTTTCAAATATCAACGATGCCGCCGGTCTTGCGCGAGAGGCACAAGGAACGCGCGCAAAAACAAGAGCAAGGGCAAGACTAAGGACCAAAAGCAAGGCAAAATCAAACCAAAAGCAAGACCAAAAGCAAGAGCAAGAAGGTCAGGGTCAAGGAAGAGATGAGGTCAAGGTCAAAGAGGAAGACAGCTCCAGCACACACCGTATTCAGGGCAAGATGGTCCAGATAGAAAGGTACCAGTTCAAGCGCCTGCACTTGTGCCTGACCCATCGTCGATCGCACCGCACCAGAGTCGAGTTCAGGAAATGTGCGTGTTCCAGAGCCTGCTCCAGCGCACGCGTCACTACCAAGAAATCGGCTCCCCCTTGTACCCATTAATGACGATGAGCCTGCGCTGGAGTTCCTAAGCGGTAGCAAAGGAAAGCTGAGCCGCACCTCTGGTGTCATCTCCGATATAACCGGCATTACCTTGGAGCAGTTGCGCGCCGTGTGGAATCGCGCTTGCTCAAATGGGAGCCGTATGCAAATCACTGGTCAGCACCGCTGCTTGAGCTCGCGGTGCTACGAACAGGCCAGGTGGATACATGCAGCTGTATGTCAACCGTAGGAAGCAGATGGCGCATGTAGTGGCATATATGCTGTGGTACCGCAAGTACTACTTGGATCAGCGTGTGTACCACCTCTGTGATAACAATGTTTGCATCAACCCTGCGCACTTGGTGCAGGGATCGGAAGGGAGTACATATCGCACAACCGCCACGGTTGGCGGCTCGATAATGGACAGCAGCACGCATCAGACGGCATGG